CCGTTTGGTAAACTTCTCTGATGTGTTAATCCAAGATTTTCTTCATGCCTTTAAGCAGAAAGGAGCTAAGGCTAATTGGTCTGTGGGATGACGGTACTGCTCAGGTTAACCTGGGTTCGGTAAAAATACGACCTTAGCCTCAGTCCATCTACTGGTAATAGACCGGTAAGAGCGATGCTCTGTATAGTCTGTAATGTATTTACATAGGTACATAGGAAATATGGCATCGCTTATAATAACCCAAGAGCAAGAGAGCGCTGTAAATTCTTGCTAGTGAAGTTTTTACCAGCAGAAAGTAGCTAGCAGAAGGGGAACAAAAGAAATGTCAAAGGCCGCTGTATTTCAATTGGTTAAGCATAAAGAAAAGTAAAATGAGTGGAAATCAAACTATATATGTTGTTGTTGTTCTTGTTGTTGTTGTAGCGGCTACTAAGCCCCGTTCGGGACGGTTTATCCATCATCGTTGTCGTCTATTTCAGCTAAGGGGAGGCCCAGGAAGTGTGCGACTTCCACAGGGGCTGTCCATAGGGACAGGGGCGTTAGCTGAGTGGGATTCTGAGGGCATGTGAAGAGGTGCCGGGAGTCATGTGGTGACTCTCCACATGCCGGGAATTGGTTGGGCACATCCTCGTTGATTCTACTCAGGGAGCTGTTGAGCCTGCTGCAATAGCCAGAGCGAAGTTGGGCCATTGTTGTGCGGGTCTCCCGAGGCAGACAAAGTTCTGTCCCGTCCACGTCCGGTGGTTGTGTGCCTAGAACGGCATTCACAGGGCGGCAGTCTACATAACTTGAGACTGATTCCCTGTGAATGCCGTTGAGGGCCTGTCGGTAGGTTGTCGGGTCCAGAGGTTGTTTAATATACCTCTGGACTTCGTCTGCCAGTTCGTAAAGATGCCTCCTGACGTGCCGTGGCGAGGGCTCTTCCGCGAGCAGTTGCCCGCTGGGATGGCCACGTCTGTGGCTCCCCACAAGGAACTGCTTGCAGAGCATTTTGTTAGGCTCCTTGACTGGGAGCATCTGGGCCTCGTCATGTAGGTGGTGTTGGGGCGTCATCAGGAGACATCGGGTCGCTGTTCGTAGTGCCGTGTTTTGCCAGGTCTGTAGCTTCATGCACTGCGTCCTGCTAGTCCCAGGCGACCACACGGGCGCTGCATAGTTTAGAACCGGCCGGCCAATTGCCTTGTATGTTGCCAACAACGTTTCTTTATCTTTGCACCAAGTGCTGCCGGCCAGCGACTTGAGGACATTGTTGCGGCTCTGTACTTTATTGGCAATTGCGGTTGTATGCGCCGAGAAGGAGAGCAGACGGTCGAAGGTAACTAGGACGATTTTCGGGTTATTCACCGTCGGTATTGTTACGCCATCAACGTGAATACCCAGTTGCAGTCTGACCTCCGTCGTCCAGGAGGTGAATAGGGTTGCCGAGGAAGGGCATGGGATAGGGCAAGGCTCCTTGTAGTGAAGAAGCGAGAAAGTTCGGCGAGATAACCGTTTACTTTCGAGCACAAGTTATCAATTCCATTCCCAGACGCCATGATCGGGAATCGTCAGCATAAGAGACAATATTGACACCCTCTGGTGGTTAAGGAAGCTTAGAGATGTAATAATTAAACAGTAGTGGGGACAGGACACCACCCTGTGGTACCCCCTGTTTAATTTTACGTGGCTTGCTGGTTTTGTCTCTGAAGATTACTGACGAGTGTCGACCACTCAGGTAATTCGCCGACCACCGTTTGAGTCCCTGTGGGAGTGAGGAGGCCTCTATATCTTCTAGTAGCGTTGAATGACTGACAGTGTCGAACTCCTCGGACAGGCCCAACGCTACTAGAATAGTTCTCTCACAGGGGCGGTTTCGGTTTAGGCCACGAGTTATCTGAGTGTTTATGGCGTTAAGTGCTGTTGTTGTACTATGCACTTTACGGAACCCATGTTGATGCTACGCTGGGGTCAGGTGGTTCGTGAAGTACAGGAGTAGCAGATGTCTGGAATGACGAGAGTGGCCATAGACAGGTTGAGGACCTCCGTTAGGTACGCTACTCCCGCAGGACCCAAATTTTTCAGCATCAACATGCATATTCCGTCGGGTCCAATGGCTTTGGAGGCTTTCGCCTTCCCGATGGCTACCCTTACCTCACCGCTGGTGAAAACAAGAGGCGCACTAGGTTTTGGTATTTTGTGCAGCCTTCTGGTCACTCGACATTTGGCTTTATCCACCGGAGGATGCAGAATGAACTGCCGCCTAAAATAGCTAGCGACAACCCTGCGGAACTTACGCTCACCTACATGAACATCGGTTGGTATGGGTAGTGCAGTGAAGGCGCCCTCAGTAACATCCGTGAAGCCTTTCCATTCAGCTTTGGAGTTGATATAGGTCCGGTGATCCACGGAAGCAAAGTCAGCAGGTTTATCAATCGAGATGACTATGGGCAGATGGTCTGATGCTAGAGTCAGCATAGGTCGCCATGATACGCTGTTTATCAGACCAGCGCTGACAATTGTTAGATCTGGCGAGCTGCATCAGCTGCCCATAATCCTGGTGGGTGCGTCGTCGTTCATTGTGCAGAATGTCGAATCGTCTATCTGCTCAGCCAGATGTGTTCCCCTACGATCATTTGACAGGCTTGAATGCCAGAGATCGTGGTGCGCGTTAAAGTCACCAACTACCATACGGTTTTCACCTCTGAGTAGCGCACCTATTTCAGGGTGATATCCTGCCGGGCAGCTGGTGACAGGGGGTATGTATACGTTAAATATTTCGAGCTCAACATCGCCTGACCGGATAGCAATACCCTGACATTCTAGGATGGTATCCCTGCGGTCGATGTCTGCTTCAATGAGACGATACTGCACGGTGTGGTGCGTGATGAACGCTAAACCTCCACCATTATCTCGCTCGCGATCCCGACGGTGCACGTTGTATCCGGCGCAATTCAACAGGGTTGAATTGCCGTGCAACTTCATCTCTTGGACCGCAGCTATTAATATTCCATGCCTTCCCATAAAGACAGTTATCTCCTCGATCTTGCTCTGGAGTCCGTTACAGTTAAATTGTAGCACCTTTGTGTGCCTTGGGAGACCGATTGTGATGTGTGGTGTTAAAGAGTTGTGTTGCCTGCCGGCCCCCTGCTGTACGTGCTGCAGAAGGGGGTGCTGCCTTGTGGTGGTGGTATGCGGCGTCGCGGGGGAGGGATGCGACGGGGCAGCACAGCAGGGGCCCACATAGTCGCTCGTCCAATCTCGTGTGTTGCGAAGTCCTGAGCACGCCCTGAAGTGGCACCAGCCGAGGCAAGAGTTGCACTTGACTGATGTCACGTTACGGTATATTCTTGACTGACAGACAGAGCAGATTGTCGGAGGGACTAGGAGTTGCCGGCGGCGGTGTGTGGGTGCTATTGTGTTTGTTTGTGTGTCTATTGCTGTGTTGTGTTGGGGTGTGGGTGTGTTGATTGTGTGCTGCCCAGGCGGGTGGCGGTTTGCCGTGGAGGCAGTCCGGTTCGCACAGCATGGGGCCACGAAGGACGTGGTCCATTGCCGGTGCGTACGCAGGCCCGAGCAGTTACGAAGGTGACTCCACCCGTCACAGGCATTGCACCTGACCGAAGTGGAGTTTGTATGCAGTCGTCTCTGGCATACTTAGCAGGTGTAGATTTCTGGCCCTAACGGGGTTAGATCGCCGAAACAACAGCCCTTGGTCGGGTAAAACCCGAGTCATTCCGGTACGTAGAACCGGCTGTCGTGGGAATGATATGAGCGTACATATTTATGTTGTACTGCACTTTGCTTGTGTGTAAAGGAAAGTTTAAAACATTTATAAATTGTATAATGTTTACAGCAGCGTGTCAAAACAGTGGAACCACTGTGCACTTGCAAGTTTTTGCTAGTTTTGTGTTGATAACTTTTTCGCGAATTTTCTTTTCACATTTCTACGCTCTATTTTGCTTGTACGCTCTCGCTGCGATTTTTACTGGACAAGTTACTACACACATCTTATGTCATCTGACGTTTCAGTATTGCTGTTGTCCCAAAACAAAATGAGTGTAGCCATAGCTCATGATTCAATAATACAAGCAGTGGCACCGTGTTGCTTCTTTGCAAACTTACTTGGAAAAGGTGTACATTTGGTGTGAAATGCATGTATAAGATTTGGGCAATATGTTTATTTGTATATACATATGAAGCACATTTAACTGATGAAAACATCAACTTTTTTAAACTGGATGTTTACATAAAACTCGCAGTAGTGTTATATTAATTTTGAGCCCTTTTGCAGTTTTTATACAGCTAAATAGCATATAAATTACGTAATTCAAGTAGATACTGTAATATTACGTTCAATATTTCGTTTAAAATGCCAGATTTCCTGCAAATACGTTAGAATTTACAAAAGGAATTTCACTACTAATTGCCTACTTTGCGTACTTTTCTACTACCATTTACGCACCAAGGGATTTCATTCTTCGTCTTTCTCCGCACTTCGTAAATGCAACCTTTTGTAAGGGAGTGTCAAACCGCGGCTGTCAATAATTATCTAACCGTGTATTATTGAATCATTGCCATAACTTAACAGTTTCAGCGCCATCTATTTGCGGTTTTAACTCACTGCAGCCATCTGTTACGTTCAGCAATCTATTACGTAAAATGCAGCCATTTTTTCTCCGGTTTGACATTCTTATGTTTTTGTTTGTTTGTTTCCTAAAATCAGCTGTTTTACGGTTGTCATTGGCGCCGAAAGTTTATGTTCTCAGCTGTTGCAATATAATTCATTTAATAAATTCGTCGAGTATGCTCCCGTAACTCGCCCCTCATCTTACTTTTTGTTCGCAACGGTTGTTAAGCTACCAATGTAAATGCCATAACAAAAGCGTTAGACAATTCAATCGCAATAACGACCACAACTACGTTATCGCATTATGTGCATTTTTTTCTGGCGATTCATTGATTAAACACAAAGAAGCATCCTGAATTCTATTGTATAATTCATTGAAATTTATTTAATAAAATTTAGTTACATATATTTGAGTGTCATAATAAAACACCTGAAATCCGATGTCGAAACCGCCAACGAAAACGACGCAACAAAGAACCGTGAGCGCACCAATAAAATATCTATTTCCAAAAAGTGTCGATAACAACTCGGAACCAGTTTGCATACCGCTTTCACAACGCGTATTTCATATAAAGTTATGAGCACCTACTTTTTTGTTTGGCTTCCACTGCACTGTGTAAAAAATGTATTTCAAAGTGTGATCTATGTTTTCCTCACTTTGCAATTAATTCCATTTTAATTAAAATACATGTTGAGTATGTGTACATACATGCATACATTTGTATTAAGTGTATACATATGTATGTGGTTATTTATGAACATACATAAGTACATATTTAAATACTCGCATATCCAACTTATAGGGAATTTACATGATTCAACTTTCACAGTCGATTAGTTGAAAGGCCGTTTACACCAGACGATTGTGGCTTTCAAAAGTTGCCTGAAAAATCGCCTCAGGTAAATTCCCTATTATTGACCTTTTAATAAGAACATTTTCTTCCAGAAGTACAGCATTTTTGTATAAAGCAAGTGTTGATATCTGTATAGCATATGCATTTATTTCCAAACATGCGAATATTTACACATGTATAAATACGCTTCATTCACAGCTTCTTTGTTTGTTTTCAGTTGTAAGTCTACATTTTTAGGTCAATGACTTACCCTTATTTCACTGTTGTATGCCTATAGTAAACACAGATGTATGAATGTATGAATGTGGGTTTATGTACATATGCGCGGAAATATAAGACTTTGCAACTTTCCAGTTATCAGTTCGGCATGCGGGCGCCAACTGACCTTCGTATCTATCAGATAGGCGCTTGTATCTGATCCACCCTACAACCAGCGTTGCCGTTTAGCCACAATTGGAGCAAAAGTGCTATAATTAAAATAAAAGCAACAATGCTACATGAAATGGCTACATTTTCGTTAACAGGCTTTTCACGTACGCCGCCAATTTACGGTCAAAAATTTCTCATGCACATACAACTTGTATGGGACCAACCGAAATTGAAAGCCGTGCGTATGAAGCTAACTCTATTCCCAATTTTCGCTCTGCGTGACATTTTGATTTGACGTTTCACTCGACGAAATCAAATGCAAACGCACGCAAGCGAATTTCGGGTGACGCAAAAAAACAAATTCGACGCCGTGCGTACCAAAACGCAAGCCGCGGATATTAGGTTAGACTGTAAGGCTACAGCTTCAAAAACTTTTTTGCATATTCTAAAAAAGAGAGACTGTATACGCAAAAAAAAATAGAAGTATGATGGTGTTCATAGCTTTAGTGCGTTGTGTTTTACCTTTGACGGATATTTCAACTGCTCAGCCCCACAGTATACAGTAATCCAGATAGCCAAAACAAATACATGTAAATATGCTTATTTGACATTTTGTTTGAATGTATTGGTTGATATTTTTTCACAGCCCAGTAGCGAAAATGGTCACCGGTGACATCGTCACTAATGAGGATTTAGTGGCATCGTCGCACTTGCTGCGAATCCTAAGCGACATATAGCTGACAATGACACTAGTGACAATGACATGCAGGTGTACTCCTATCAAAGACTTATAACAGACAATGTCTTGCAGCGGTCACTTATAAAAAGTTCATTGCAAGATACTGTCGCTTGAATGTCATTAATGATCACTGCATGACCAAGTCATGCAGATGACATCAACGACGAAATTTCCATTTATATGAAAAAGTCATGAACGACTTCCATACAAACGGAGCCAGAAGTCATTTAAGACGTAACTTTTCCGTAGAAGACTCTTAAGTGACTAATGCATGACATTCGCTACGGGAAATTTTCAAATAAGCATATTGTCAATGGCTGGCTTACTGTATACCATGATACAAAAAAGAAGGTAGTCTCATTGTCACTTTTTCGTCGCCATATTAACAGCCTCACAATTAAGTAGATTGTGACATTTCGTGCTACCATATCCAATATCTAAAATCCTCCAAATTTTTTTATTAATTTTTTGGTTATTTACAAACATTTTGTTCTAAGAATCGAAATTTGAACATGCAAAAGGTATATTGTTGAGTACGGCTCGGTTACTTGTACAATAATTTTGGGTTAATGTGTCCAAATGCTTAACCAAAAGCCAAAAATTTTGACACACACGTGTGGTCAAACAATTACACGTTAGTTTAAAATTAAGATTTCTAAATTTCATATACAAATTATTAAGAAATATTGTGGTAGCGTGGCAGCGTAGCCGGAGTTGGACTTACATTTTCTCTGTCAAAATTCTAATTTTACCCAATTTTTTAAAGTGTCCGTCTCCGCTTGCCACCCCAAAGCCATTGAACAAACTACCGAACATTTCTCCTTTTGTTTTTGAAAGAGAATAGGTCTAATGCTCAATAAGTTGATTACTGTGTTTCTAGTTTTCATACTAACAATAAGTCATCAATTTTGTTTCACACCAAAAAGGAGAAGGTTATCAATTCGTCGGAATATTTTTTTATTATTATTTTTTTATGTATGCTACCGCATAACTTTGGACCACGTTAACCGATTACTATATTTCTTTTTATAAAGGAAAGAAAAGGTTACCTCACAAGTGGTCCCATTCGAATTTGGTTTAAATCCGAACATTGGGTCATGAAGAGATTAACGATAATCTAATATTTTATATGGGAATTGAAGTCGGTTTTGTTTTTTGCTTAAAAATTACTTGCTTATGTAAGCATTTGTTAACCCTAGAACACACACCCAGAAAATACCACGTAAACACACACCCGGGATACGTTTGTACCCGGGACCTTATTTTGCGGTTTTTTAATGCTTATTCAACCGATTTCTATGATTTTTTTTTTGTATATATGATTCTCGCTGTTCCTCAGTTAGCCTGCATAATAAAAAAAATTAGTATATGTTTACATTGTTGCTTATTTTACATTTTTTACCTTCTATATGCTGCACTTGATAAATATTCGTTTCTTCTTGAAGTCATTTCGTATCCAGTTATTTACAGTTTCAGTTATATTTATTTTCACTTAAATTTTCACTTCTTACACTTTTGAGCACCAAAACAATAATGAAAATATCAACAGGCAGCATTTATAACAACACCTCGTGTGAAAACAACCCTTGCAGCTGCATATAAAATACAAAAACCAGTTATACCAGTGTATTTGCTACCTACGTACCCATACCTTGCGCGACCTTTTTGCACATATCTTTTGAACCAGGTAGAATATTTCAATGAAATAAAAACCAAAATCTGTATTCGTTGTTACTCTACAAGTATATTATTATAAATTATATTATTTTGTTTTGCATTTATCAGGACAACAACAAAAACAAAAATCCACTGTTGCATGTCCTGACTTTATTTGCCCATATCGCTGGAACCAGTAGGAATATTCGAATGAAACAAAAGACAAAAATTTGTTATATATTAAAATATACATTTCA